TCAAAGCCCTGCCATCCGCTGATGGCCAGCATCAGTACCTTCCCAACACCTTATCAGAGGATGGTTGGTTATGTTAACTTCTCAAGGGATTTTTATATTATGGATTGTGAAAGCTTGTCCTCTTCAACTCCTTTAAAATATTTACACATTTCTCTTAAATTAGCTTATCAAGTCAGACTGTCCCCCATTTTGCCAACTGAGGAGGATACATTGCATAGTTTTTTCTAGAAGGTCTTCAAGATTAACATAGACTACTTTTATTTGTTTCAGATAGTTAGAGTTGCATTAACATCCTAGCTTAGATTTGAGTGAGACTTTATTCAATCTTAGCTGCAATAAATTTCTGCCAATATGACCATCTGGCCACCAGGGTCCCAAGAACTTCTACCAGTTGTGAGCCCTCGGTTTGTATGTGTTTCTACTCACCTGTAAGGACATCCTCCTTCTCCAACATTGCAGCTATGAAAATAGTCCTTTGGTTTATAGATGGAAGATAAAAAAAGATCTAATTTTTCCCCTTCCTGAAAACAAATTGTCCTGGGAAACCTGATTTGTTTTTTTGAGAAACCCAATTCTTTGATTTAAAACAAAACTTTTCCAAATGTGGTGGTCAATGGCAAAATCCCATAAACACCTTTATGAAATATCCTGTAACTCTAGAGAGAAAAAAAATATTAATCGCAGTTTCCCCACTCTGTTAAATGTTTCCGAGATCAACCTGTGTGTAACTCAACTCCAATTTCTAATAATAACCACCATTACATCTGAGAGGAGGCTGGAAAAAAGAAAGCTCCTCTGAATCAAATAGGGTTCATATTGGATTGCAAACTCTGTTCTTTAAATAAAGTTAATTCTGTGCTCTTTTGATTACTTTTTTGTATCTTCTATATATCAACCTCTACTTTAAACTGTAGAAAATCTCTGATTTTTAAATATTGAACTTATAAATGCAATTAACGATTCTGATTCTGAACTCAAAAGAGTATACACTTGTTTTGTTTTGTTTTTCTCTAAGCCAGGTAAGTTTGGTCTTCTGTGTAAAGTAATATAGCTTTTTATAAAAAAAAAGTTACACATTTTGTTACTTAATAGGAAAAAATTGATTGTAAAAACAAGATAATAGAGCAGACCCTTCATTAGAAATGTATCTCTTCCCACGTTATTAATGTTTTAACAGTGCCTGCTTACCCCGGAAGCTTCCCCTGGAGCCAACTTTTTATCACAGACAGAAATGGAAGTCCTAAAGAGTTTCTTCTGTTAGAATGATGTGTCTTTATTCAAAAAGACTAAGTACGAATATACTAAACTATTAGACGACTCTGAAACTGGACATGGTAGACAACATAATACAGATTCTACTTCCCAACTTCCACAACTGAAAGACATATGTAACTTAGGCATTAATTTTTTTTAAATAAGAAAAGTAATGCTCATAACTTTTCTCCCTCTCCCACTTTATCCTCTCAAACAACAATAACGTGAGGGGAAAAATTTGCTGGGAATATAATATCTGGTGAAATTATTTTACTGGATTGCAAAAAAAAAAAAAAAAGAAAGAGCGAAGTTCTACCTGTAGTTCGTCCTAGGTAAATGCATTATTATATTGTTTAATGCAAATACACTAAATGTTACTTAATGTTTGTTACACATGATTTCCAAGAAATAATATATTTCATGAAAGTAACTCAGACTTGATAATAGTTGTCAGTTACTAACTCATTTTCAATAAAAACCATTCGAATTTCCAGTTTATGATTATTATATATTTTAACCAACGATTTTACATAACTCATCACTTTAAAAGCCAGTTGTGCTTTAGAATAAATTTGAAAATTGCTGAGAGGAACCATTTGTTCCAAGTGTACTTATTTATCTTAATACCTGTCTACTGCTCAGAATAAACACACTATAAACACTGCTGCTAGGTTGTTGCTAGCTGCCGTTGAGTCGGTTCCGACTCATAGCAACCTATGTACAACAGAACGAAACACTGCCCCCTCTTCCACCATCCTCATGACCATTGTCATGCTTGAGCCACTGTTGCAGCCACAGTGTCAATCCATCTCATTGAGGGTCTTCCTCTTTTTTGATGACCTTCCACTTTTCCCAGCGTGATGTCCTTCTCCAGGGACTAGTCCCTCCTGATAACATGTCCAAAGTATGTGAGACAAAGTCTTGCCGTCCTTGCTTCTAAGGAGCATTCTGGCGGTACTTCTTCCAAGACAGATTTGTTTGTTCTTTTGGCAGTCCATGATATATTCAATATTCTTCTCCAACACTACAACTCAAAGGCGTCAGTTCTTCTTCAGTCTTCCTTGTTCATTGTCTAGCTTTTGCATGCATATGAGGCGATTGAAAACACCATGGCTTGGGTCAGGTACACCTCAGTCCTCAAAGTGACATCTTTGCTTTTTAACACTTTAAAGAGGTCTTTTGCAGCAGATTTGCCCAATGCAATGAATGCATCGTTTGATTTCTTGACTGCTGCTTCCATGGGTGTTGATTGCAGATCCAAATAAAATGAAATACTTAACAACCTCAATCTTTTCTCCATTTATCATGATGTTGCTTATTTGTCTAGTTGTGATGATTTTTGTTTTCTTTATTTTGAGGTGTAATCCATACTGAAGGCTGTAATCTTTGGTATTCATCAATAAGTGCTTCAATATCCTCTTCACTTTCAGCAAGCAAGGTTTTGTCATCTGCATATCGCAGGTTGTTAATGAGTCTTCCCCCAATCCTGATGCCATGTTCTTCTTCAAATAGTCCAGCTTCTCAGATTATTTGCTCAGCATACAGACTGTATAATTATGGTGAAAAGATACAACCCTGACGCACACCTTTCCTGACTTTAAACCATGCAGTATCCCCTTGTTCTGTTCGAATGACTGCCTCTTGATCTATGTACATTCTTCGCAATGTTACCCATAATTTGTTATGATCCACACAGTCGAATGCCGTTGCATAGTCAATAAAAGACTGGTGAACATCTTTCTGGTATTCTCTGCTTTCAGCCAAGATCCATCTTACATCAGCAACGATATCCCTCATTCCAGATCCTCTTCTGAATCAGGCTTGACTTTCTGGAAGTTCCCTGTCAATGTACTGCTGTAACCACATTTGAATGATCTTTAACAAAATTTTACTTGCGTGTGATATTCATTATATTGTTCCATAATTTCTGCATTCTGTTGGATCACCTTTCTTTGGAATGGGCATAAATATGGATCTCTTCCAGTCAGTTGGCCAGGCAGCTGTCTTCCAAATTTCTTGGCATAGACAAGTGAGCATTTCCAGCCCTGCATCCATTTGTCGAAACATCTCAGTTGGTATTCTGTCAATTCCTGGAGCCTTGTTTTTCACCAATGCCTTCAGTGCAACTTGGACTTCTTCCTAATGTACCATTGGTTCCTCATCATATGCTACTTCCTGAAATGGTTGAACATTGACCAGTTCATTTTGGTACAGTGACTCTATATTTCTTCCATCTTCTTCTGGTGCTTCTTATGTCGTTCAGTATTTTCCCCTTGGAATCCTTCAGTATTGCAACTCGAGGCTTGAATTTTTTCTTCAGTTCCTTCAGCTTGAGAAATGCTGAACATGTTCTTCCATTTAGGGTTTCTAACTCCAGGTCTGCATATGTCATTATAATACTTTACTTTGTCTTCTCGAGCCACCCTTTGAAATCTGTTCAGCTCTTTTACTTCATCATTTCTTCTGTTCACTTTAGCTACTTGATATTCAAGAAACAGTAGAAGGTGTTTTTAAAGGTTTTATATATATATAAAATTAGAGATTATGGTAAGAGATGGTAGTTTTCTTGAAGTTAACAGTATTCATGAGTTTGATTTACATATTGTTCTAGTTACTTTTTTTTGAGATACATTTCAGATTCTTTGGAAGTTTAATGTGAATGTATCATTTGAAGGGTCTGATGGCTGGTTAGCCCTAGCCCTTATGGAACAGAAGCTGAGGTTAGCCTTTAAATAAATTTGAATTTATTATTTTGGATGTGCAGAGCCTAAGACACAACTTCTTCATCTAAATTTTCTAATTTCCATCATGCATATCTTGTTGGATAGTCTACTAAGGTTGACTTCTAAAGCCCCACTTGTGTGCTATTGTCATGGGTTCCATTTCTCAACCCTAGTGAGAGCTGACATTCACTCATCACTCAGTAACAGCTGACCCCAAGCTATTCTGTAAAAAGAAAGAAATTAATATTTTGGGAGAAAAGCATTATTTGAGAAACGAGTTTGTTTTTTATCAACAACAGTTACTTTTAATACTGTAAAGTAGGGTAAAGATTTGGGGTAGAGGAAAAGGATTTGTAATGAAGACTCCTTTGCCGTTAACCCTGTTCCCTAAAGAGAGTTCAAAAACAGTGTTCTCAGCACAATCAGCAGTTCTCTCTTTTCCTTCTCTATGCCACCGGTGGGGATCTCTCCAAGAGTCTCACCACAACTCTCTCCTCTCCCCAGTTTGAATATTATTGACATTTGCTTTTTAGATGGCTTCGAACTTGATAGATTGTGGGGAATATGTTGTATTGACTGTTATTTCTTTTTCTTTTCTCTCTCGAGGCTTGGAGTATTACCTACCATAGCTGGTTGACATTTGTGTTGTTGATTTGGTCATGCACTCTTTGGATGATTCGCAACAGAAGGAAATACGCAATGATCAGCTCTCCTTTCATGGTTGTCTATGGGAATCTGTTGCTGGTGTTACAGTATATATGGAGCTTTGAACTTCCTGAAATTAAAAAGGTCCCAGGATTTTTAGAAAAGAAGGATCCAGGAGAACTTGCCTCAAAGGTAAGTGAATACAAAACAAGAAAACAGAACAATGATACACAACCACAATAATGATAATAACCATATGCAAGCAAAAACTTAGAAAAATAGGTTCTGAATACATATTCTTTCAAAAATGAACAGATATGAAAATGCAAGAAATCATTTATATTGCTTTCAGTCTGCTATAATTTAAACATGAACAAATATTACACCTGGCTTTTATATTCTATTTTAACATGAAAATGTTTTCCATTCAAAGAAAATAGGTATTAGCCAGTATAAATTATATAGAGAAATTAGGAAAATAAAATGTAAAAGTATTTCAAAGTGTTAAAGACTTTCTTTAATAGGTATCAATTTGTAAAACATGCGTACACTTTGTATTGATTATTAATAAAAACAGTTTTTCTCCAATGATGTTGTAAAACAGTTTTTTAACAGTAAATATAAAGTATGGCACTTACATGCTGTTTTTCTTCAACTGATTACCGTATTTTTACATAAATCACACATGCCTTCTATGTTTGTTTGCCAGTTGCACCTTCCACCCAGGAGGTATTTTCGTTAAGTGCGCTATGATTTTTTTACAGCAACATGTACCTCACAGTGGGGAGGGCACAGTTGGCAAACAAGCATAAAAGGTGTGCATTATTTGCATAAAAATATGGTATATGATATGTCCTTCATCCACAGATACTGTAGAATCTGTCATTATTCATTTATTTTAATAAGCCATTTTAGTAGAGTTTTTATTTCAGAAGATTAGCCATCCCTGCCTTACTGTTTTATTACCTTTGTGTTTATGACTTTGTTTTAAGACAGTAGAAGCAATCATGTATAAGTATTGGATGAGCCTTGAAAATTTTTTTCCTCCCGACAGAGAGGATAATTAGTATCTCTGTTATAAAAGCCATGTTTCCTGGGAGCAGCCACCTTCTTTACAGGTTACTAGATGCCCCATATGCAAGGCCATCAGGCATTAATGGGGTACTCAATAGTCTAGACCAAGGATTGGGCCTGAAAATAGAAGTTTTGGTGGGGGACGACTGGGGTACAGGAAAAAAAAAAAAATCTTAACAGGTAAATGTTAATGGCAGTTGGAATTTAGACTATAATCCCCTACATTTATGGACCGTGGCAACTTCATTCATTCATTTAAAACTCCCATGCCCACCCCACTCCCACTTTCTCTCCCAAACCTTATTCCATACTGAAAGTCCCTCATAATACCCTCACTCACAAGTCAGCTTCATCTGACTTTCTCTCCTTTCTTCTCTCCCTCCCTCTCTTTCCCCTTAAACATACCCACACTCCAGGCACTCACACACATACACAACTGGTAAGTGAGTCTTTTTCTATAGAGAACTTCAAAACCTTATCCTTTTGAATGTATAAATCTGCTACAACCTGACTTGGAATATCACTGAGACTTCTAAAAAATACATGCTAACCAGTTAGTTGAATTAACTCTTGTTTAATTTAAAATTATCAGTTCTTTGGGGGAAAAACATTATTTGGGAAATAAATTTTTACCAACAAAAATGATTTTAGGGAAACTGGGTTCTGCGTTTATAGTTTAATGCATCCGGAAGCTCAGAAGTACAAGATTTTGTCATAAATAATAAAATACAACCTCAGGCTCATAAAATCTCTCTCTATAACTATCACATAAGTCAAAAGCCTGTTTGCAGAGTTCTGTGTTACTGTGATAGAAAATGAGAGAAAGAAAGAATAAGGCCTCAGTCCTCAAAGCCTGAACACCTCTAGTCTGACCAGACTTGGCTGCTTTGCTAAGCTCAGCTTCTTAAACTGCTAGGATGCCCCACTCCCAAGTTGATCAAACCATACCAGCTGCCTTATTCACATCTCAACTTTTAACATCATCCCTAGGAAAGATGTCCTGTCTGTTCCCACTTACTCCTCAGTTCTGTGTATATGCGTTAGGGAGGCAGGGATTTCTCCCTCCAATAGCAGTTTAATTCAATCAGTTGTGATGTCCAGAAGTTTAATACTAGATTTTCAGAAGCGTAGGTATTCCAGTTCTTAGCTGGCCTTGATTTCATTGGATTCTAGGAGTGTTTACCAGGACTTACTTGCATGATGAGTATGTTGAAGAAAAATGGCAAGTGGATATTTATGGATATTCAAGGAGGCAGTTATTCAAAGTGAAAAATAACCGCTTCATTTATCCATTTTTTCCCTTTCTTTGGCAAATATTTATTAAAAGCCTACTGTGAACCACAATGAGATTCTACTTCAAATCTACTAGGATGGCTAGAAACAAAAATATAATGAGTGTTGGCGAGATACAGAAACTGAAACCCTCGTGCATCACTGGTGGGCATGTAAAATGATTCAGCTGCTGTGGAAAACCATTTGGCAGTTCCTCAAAATGTTAAACACAGAATTACCATCAGACCCAGCAATTCCATTCCTACATATATACCCAATAGAAATGAAAACGTGTCCACATAAAAACTTGTACATGCATGTTCATAGCAGCATTATATATAATAACCAAAAAATGGAAACAACCTAAATGTCAGCTAAGGAAAGAATAAATAAAATGTGACATATCCAAATAATAGGGCACAGTGGTTAGGAGCACAGCTGCTAACCAAAAGGTCAGCAGTTCAAGTCCATCAGCTGCTCCTTGGAAACCCTATGGGGCAGTTCTACTCTGTCCTGTAGGGTTGCTGTGTGTCAGAACTGACTCTATGGCAGCAGGTTTGATTTTCGGTTTTTTATTCATCCATGAAAAGTAATGAAATACTCATATGTGCTATAACATCGATACATCTTGAAAACATTATACCAAGTGAAATAAGCCAGGTACAGAAGGCTAGCTATTGTATGACTCACACTTTTATGAAATGTCCAGAATAGTCAAGTCTATAGAAACAGAAAGAAAGTTAGTGGCTGCTTCAGACTGGGGGATGGGGGGAGGGGAGTGGCTGCTATGGGGTTTCTTCTTGGTGTGATGAAAATATTCTAAAATTGACTTTGGTGATGGTTGCACAACTCTGAATGAACTAAAACCATTGAGTTGCACACTTCAAATGGGTGACTTGTATGGCGTGTGAATATCTCAATTATTCACTGTTACTGAAAAGGAAAACAATGACTGTGTGCTAGGTACTGCAATCCTTCAAAAATGGAGTTCCCTGAAATCAGAATTTTTCTTCCTAGCCCCCAAGAAAATGTTAATACCAAAGTGTGTCTATTTGGCAGTATTCTTCCTTCAGCTTTGGAAGACGGATGAGAAAAATAAGGGATTCTATTTTGTGGGACGAAATTTTTTTTTCCTTCTGTTGATTTCTTAAAAATAAAGAATATGTCAGAACCAAAGGAGTGTTATACAAGAGAATTATACATTAAAATGATGATGATGTCATACTCAGGACGGGAAGTCAGTCAAGGACAAGCGACTTGAGGGGACCATTGCTGGAGAGTTGATTTCCTGCCCAGATGGGAGTAAGTGGGCCTCCCAATGCATCTTCCTAAGGCCTTTAGACAGATCTGGACGTGCCCCAGCCAGCAGTAAACCCATGCTGCCATCCTTAGGCGTGGGGACTTCAAATCCAGCAGCTCCCATTTGAAATCAAGGGGTGAACTGACTCTGTCTCTCATAACTAAGGTTTATTTATTGAGCGTGCCTTGCCACTGAAGTGTGGAGGCAACGTCATATTTATCGAAATGTATTTACCTTCTAAAGGTTGCTTAAGTCTCGTTTTGCTATTTCTCTACTTTCAGATTCTTTTCACTATTACTTTTTGGCTACTGCTCAGGCAGCACCTCACAGAGCAGAAAACTCTTCAACAAAAGGAGGCTCTTTTATCTGAAGTCAAAATTGGAAGTCAGGAAAATGAAGAAAAAGGTAAATTAGAGTGTCTGCAGTGTGTCACAGAAGATTTGTATGAGCCCCCAAAAGCACATCACAAAGCAGAGCCTCTCTGGTCAGACCAGGTGGGAGCCGAGTATTAATCTGTAGCGATAAGTAATAATACTAATAGAGGTAACTTGTAGAACACTAGCAAGTCAACAAGGGGCGTTTAAAAGTGCTGTGTTATTGGCTCCTTCCCAAAGTGATTCACATTAAACCGAAGAAGACACTGAGGCTCATAGAAGTTAAATGAGTTCCCCAAGGCCACACTTTCAGTAAGTGACTAAGAAACTGATTCAAATCTTTTAAATTCGAATCCTCTTCTAAAAATAATTTACCACAAAGGTAAGAGGCTGATGTTTCTATTATCCTCTCTGTGAGTTTAGGCCTGCTATGTGGGTAAGATGAGAACAACCTTGCTCCCTACCTCCTTATATTTACAAATCAGTAGAAATTTAATGTTTGCAGACTGTACTGGAGTCTAATAATGAGGCAGCAACATCTCTGAAGAGGAAGCTATAAATGTTTTCAAAATATTTTGGTTACGAAATGTTTACAAAAGCAAAGCTGCCCTGTTAACCTTTAATTCAGTTCTGTAAGAAAACCAACAAAGACCAGCTCGTTTCTTGTTTTTTTTTTTCAGTGTAGCTTCTCTCAATGTAGCTTCTCATTTAGGCCTAATTGTTGAGTTGTCTTTATTAGCAATAAAAGTCTGTAAGATTTAAATCTCGCCTTTATGAGTTAGGCTGTTTCTAATAAACAGTGATTAAACTAATCAGTTAGTTGAATTAAAGAAGGGTTAACTTGAGCTTGGAAACCCTGGTGGCATAGTGGTTAAGAGCTACTGCTGCTAACCAAAAGGTCGGCAGGTCAAATGCACCAGACGCTCCTTGGAAACCCCATGGGGCGGTTCTACCCTATCCCATAGGGTCGCTATGAGTCAGAATAGACTCCATGGCAATAGGTTAACTTGAGATCACTGCTCTGAGTCCTCACTTCACTTTCACACCCCTGCCCTGTGACTCTACCAGTTTTTTGAATAAATTATTCAAATTTCATTCAGCTTGGTAAGGTAGTAAGGCCAAATAAGATTTTCATCTAATGGATGAAACTGTTTTAAACTTAGTTAAATTATAGTTAGTCTTACACTTTTTATAGTTAACTCTTACACTTTTAGTTATTTAAAAGCATGCATTTTGGTTAAGATTGTTAGCATTTACCACATTTAGTAAAGCATTACTTTGATTGTTTATAGCGATGAAACAATAAGAATTTGAAATTGATTTAATAGTTTTGATTTTTGTTATTGTTGCTTATTTATTTTTTCTAAATCCTACAGTACTTACAATTAGTTATCTTTGGATACTGAAAAAAAAAAAGGTATTATAAAGAGAATAGTATAAAAATAATCCCAAATTTATTTTCTTTTAAACTGTATTCTTGGAAGATTATGAAAGTTGACCATGAATTAGTTTGAATGTTGCTTTGTTTATTAGTACCGTGTGAGAATCACTCAAGTCATGTAGTGATCCATAACATGTATGTGTGTGTCTCACATGTATCACACTTGTTCAGAGTGTGCTTTTGGTCAGGTAACCAGCTAAGAATAACAGCAGAGTTTTATGTTTTGAAGATGATGAGCTACAAGATGTAGAAGTGGAAGGGGAGTCCAGAGAGAAGGGGGGAGAAGAGGAAGCAAAGGAAGAGAAGCAAGCAAGCAAGAAAGAAGAGGCAGAAGAAGTAGAGGAAGAAGATGACCAGGACGTCATGAAAGTCCTGGGAAATTTGGTGGTGGCCATGTTCATTAAGTACTGGATTTATGTCTGTGGAGGAATGTTCTTCTTTGTCAGCTTTGAGGGTAAAATTGTAATGTACAAAATCATCTACATGGTGCTGTTCCTATTCTGTGTGGCCTTATATCAGGTAGGTAAAACCAGTGTCCTCTACTGTCTTAATTCGCACATCTACCCGTGCTTCATTTAAAGAGATTCTAAGTTAGTACGGTCCCCTGTACATATTGTATAAAGTGATTGATGAGCTTTAAACACTATATCCTAAGAATCCTAAAATGTGAAATAACTGTCTTCAGCTTGTTCACTATTTTAAACTGTAGATACTTAAAAATGTCAGAAAAAAAGTTTTTCAAAATTCTTGATAAAATACACTGAAAAAAGAAACCTATATTGGATTCTGTTTTTGAATAGAAATTTAAGAACCATGGCTCAATAATCTAAAATAGTGAATCATTCCACAGTTCACTTGAATTTGGGGTTTTGAAATCAGAAAACTCTACCTATCTACACGCACACACATATTTATATTGCATCAGCTGTTTTAATATGTAATTAAAAATTTTAAAAGATTATATTACAATGAGTTAGCCTCTCCACAAACTCAGTTTTAACTGACAGTACTGTGTAGGCAATAATGAGTGTGACAATAAAATATTCTTGGAGGTAGCCTACAAAACAAACAAAGCAGCTACAATTAATAAGGGTATATTTCATGTGAGGACAAAAATGTCTGCTAGTATTTACTATGAGATCAGTAAACTTTTGAATACTTTTAAAAATTCAGGGTAGATGTTCTCTAATGACTATCCACAAGCTTTATGGTAAAGAGAGATGTCGCCTCTCGGTGGTGGTTCCGCATTTTTATTCATATGATGTCGCATTAAGTTTCAAAACTGACCTGGTTTTCTCTCTCACAATACTAACAACCGCAGCCACAGCTACCATTCCTTGAATGTTTCCTCTATGCCAGGTATCATGCTTGGAGTCGCATAAATATTATTTATCTCATCCTCAAAACAAGTCTGTAAAACGTGTTCTTATGGAAGAGAAAACTGCAGCTCAGTGGGCCTGGCAACTTGCCCAAAGGCACAGCTAGCAGCAAATGGTAGGACTGGGATTCTAACCCAGACTCTTCCGACTATATTAGGAACAGAGTGTAAACAACTAAAAATTAAACAGACTTTTTTCAAACATCTGTAAATATAATCAGCTCTATTGGTTGAATAAACCAAATATTTTTGTGAATTTTCCTATAACTGATTTTTATTTTGTATTTGGTTTTCAACATCTGATTCACAGGTACACTATGAATGGTGGAGGCGAATCCTAAAATACTTTTGGATGTCAGTGGTTATTTACACTATGCTGGTGCTTATTTTTATCTACACATATCAGTTTGAAAACTTCCCAGGCCTGTGGCAAAATATGACTGGACTGAAAAAAGAAAAGTAAGCAATTTTGACTTAACAATGAGATGTGAAAGAAACATGATGAAGACTTGAATGCATGTTCAAAACTTCTTTAAGGAAGATTTTAGTAAAAGTGACCAAGATGTGAGCCATGTCTATAAGTGTATGGAGAGCAGGATTCACGTCTTATGCATCTTCGTGTTGTCTATACCTATCCCTGAGCCTGACACGTAGTAGGTACTCAACGAGTATGAAGTGAAAAATGAATTTTTATCCCCATTTTAATGAAATGGCAGTTTGCCATGTCAGTTTCATGTGAAATAGACCTGCTTAGTCCTCTTCCAGCCCTGCTTTCTACTCTCCAAACTGGAACTCAGGTCTTCCATGGTCCATGGACTCCTAATAGAAAGACAGCAGCTTTCCTCATTTAGTCGCAGGTGCTAAGATTCCAAGGAGGAGGTAATGCCAGAGAAAAAGAAATTTCTGTAAGTGGTAAGTAAGTGATGAAGAGATAGTTTGGCTTGTGCGTGCACTAGATAGTGCTCTGTCCTTTTCCAGTTTGCTTCTGTAAACTTCTAAAATTAGTTTGGAAATCCACCTAGAATTGGGAGCGGCTAAGAGTAAGTTTAAAGGACAGGATCATAATGCAGCTAGACCAGCACCTCCTTAGGGTTTATTAAACACGTCTGCATGTCGCCACATGCAGACATTGTCCTGTGCTGAAGACACAACAGGACATGAGACAGGCATGGTCTAAGCCCTGGGGGGCTGACATTCTAGTAGGGGAGACGAACAGAACAACACTGCCTGTAGCAGCAAATTAATTACACATGATGGGCCTGTGAAGGAGACAGACAGTCGGTTGAGGTGATGAAGATGGGTAAACTACTGAGGAGGAGGCATGGGAGGCTAAGAATGAGCTCATCCTAAGAAAAGTGTGTGAGCTGGACATTGGGATGCAGAGGAGCATTCTAGGCAAGAGAAGAACAAGTGCAAAGATTCCCTGCAGGACAGAGTTCTGGTGTCTGAGGAGCTGCAGAAAGGACCACTACCTGGAACCAGGGGAGAGTGGGACAAGTTTAGCCAAGCTGGTGGGAGGGTTCAGCCAGACACTGGACGTAGATGGCACTGCAGGTACTGGTGGTTTCTGTTTCGTTCGTGGTGAGATTTGAAGAGTCTTTAAAGATGCCTTGGCTACCTGAGGAAAAGTGACTTGTAGGGAAGCAAGAAGAGAAACAACAAGACCAGTTAGCTAGCAATCACAGTGATCCTGTGAGAGATGGCAGTGGCCTCACCTAGATGGTGGCAGCAGAGGGGATAGGAGTGGACAGATTCAAGGGTGGTTAGGAGTTTGGAGGAAATGTGGATGAACTACATATGATGAAAAAGAAAGAGCCAAGGATCACTTTCTGATGTCTGGATTTTACACAGGGTAGATGGTTGTACCAGGTATTGGGGAGAGGGAGGTAGAGAAGAGCTTTGCTGAGGAAAATAAGAAAATCAAGAATACTGAGTTTGTTTAGATTTTTTAAATTGTTGTAAAAATATATATAATACAACATTTGCCAATTCGACAAGAATACTGTTTTAAAAGCATTAAATATTAAATAACTATTGAGGAACCCATTTCAGGAAGAAATTTGGATACGAAAGTCTACAGGAGAAGATTGCTGTAGATACACATTATAGAGTCAGCAGTGTAAAGATGGTGTCCAAATTCATGAGAGTAGGTGAGATTGCCCAGGGAAAAAGGACAGCTGGAGGAGAGAGACAACACTGAGTCCTGGGAATGTTCCAGCAGTTAGAAGTCAGTGTTTAAAGAAGGAGAAGACAGTGAAAGTGAAGGAAGAGGAGAACCAGGAAAGTGTGGTGGCACTAAGACTAAGACTGTTCCAAGAAGGGCTAGTGGTTGAATTAAAGACAGAGAAGTAGCCAGTGAGTTTAACAGTATCAGGACTTAAGTGACCATTGTAAAAGCAGGTTAATTGGGTTGGTGAAAACAAAAACCAAATTAGAATGTATGGAAGAGTAGAAGGCAATAAATGGTATAATGGAGACAGTAAAAATGAGTATGATATAGTTTATGATGAAGACAGTATGTCTTCATTGCCTAAGAAAGGTTCTTGCTTTTTGTTTTGTTTTGTTTTAAAGGCTTGAGGATCTTGGCTTAAAACAGTTTACGGTGGCTGAACTCTTCACTCGCATTTTCATCCCCACCTCCTTCCTGCTAGTGTGCATTTTACACCTCCACTACTTCCATGACCGGTTCCTTGAACTCACAGACCTCAAGTCCATTCCCAGCAAAGAAGATAACACCATCTACAGGTGAGTGAGTACAAGGAACATCTACCACTTGGTATCCAGAAGGCAACCTTCCTCCCCCACTTTTGATTGCCCACCTTGAGGAAGCCAATAATCTAACTCAGAGTTTCAACCCTCAACTTCCCATGAGTTAAAAAAATGAGAAAAATATAGACTATTTGATGAAACTTTCTGAAGCATTTGGTAGTGACTTATTACTGGTTAATGTAAAGTGATCTTGATATTCATGTGACTAGATTCAGATCTGTGCAGACTAAAGTACTTTAGATAGTTGGTGATGTGGATTTCCTGTCTAGGCAGGCAGTTGATATATTTTTAGGACATTTACAGAATCTGAATAATTCCAAGGATGAGTTTTCTGTTACCCTGACTACCAGTAAAGCAGCCACCAGGAGAGCATATCAAGAGATGACAGGCAGAATTTTTCCTTCTCTTCTGAAAACGAAGAACCTTGGCTAAAAGAACAGAGTCTGAAATCTACTAGTAACTAGAAAAGAAAGTGAAGACAAGTATCATCTGTCGTTAGTTTTCTCTTGTCTTCTCATCCGTAAACATAAATTGTTTACAAGTAACAAATGGGCTACTGCTTATTCTGCCCTGTTAGGTGAAATCACCATGGGTTATGTCACATCCCTCAGTCTGTTCCATCACAGGGGAATTGTAAGCATTCTTCAAATGAATGTTGACACTAATTTTCTTCTATGCCTCATATTAAGCCTATGATTCAGTTCTTGGCAAAACTCTTGGTAAGCAACCAAGGTAGCGAAGGGCTGTATTAAGACGAATATGGATGCTATGGTTTAAAAGTTCCCGTAACCATTTGACTTCAAGGAAAAAAAAAAAAAAGAGTACATCAATAAGAAGATGAAGCAGTATTTTAGCATACACATTTTATAAAACAGCAAACTTTCAATTTTCTGCTGTAGTAGAGCCTGGAAATGATTCTTTTAACATTACTTGTGATACTTGTGGACAGTTATGTGTATATGTGTGTGTGTGTGATATATAAATCGAATATATTTATATATATAATAGTATTTGGTATTCAACTCTAACCATTTAATGTGCTTTGTTTAATTATAAACCCTTACCATATTTTTCAAAAAGTCATGTTCAGTAATCAAGAAAAATCTTTCAGTCAGCAGATTAAATTTGTGCTCATGAAAGAAATGTAATTTGTGTTCATTGCTAACAATACCTTTTTAATTTTTTTCTTTCTAAATGTCTTTTGTTCCCTTCTGTATTTTATCCTCATTGAAAGTTCCTCCAGTATATCGAAGCTTTTCCTTGCAGTTATATTTATTGTCATGTGTCTGAGTCTTCTGTTATGCAATTAAATAGAGACATAGGTCATGATTTGCCCAGAATAATAGAGATTTTCAGAGCCATGGAAGACAATATGGCTCAGCAAAGATTTTCCCAGACCAGAATCACAATTGTTGAGACTGAGATAGGTGACAAGTGAATTTGCCCGCACAGACTTCCCTTTAAGGGCACATACTATATTTAATCAGGAAGGTTCTTGGGAAGGACTGCAGCCCCAGTCAGCAAGTCGGAAGAGTTTAGGCTCATGAGACTTCATTTTTAGTTCGGTGGATAAAAGTTTCCGAGAACCTTAGGGAATGTGGATTTGAAAGACTCATCAAGCTTGGAATTTGGGTATTTCTTTCAAGAGTTTAATGTAAAAGTCCCAACATTTTGTCTTTAAACATTTGATATCTATTCCATCTTTTTAGCAAATCTTTCCCAATGTAGTATTTTTCTTACTGATAATTTTCACCCCACAGTATTTTTTGTTCCTAGAGTCCCAATCAATGGCTGCGTGAAAGTCAAAATGGTGAAGAAAAACAAATAACGTCAGAATTTGGTTTGACTGCCATGTTTGCCTTCTCTGCTCCCACCTCGTTAGTGGGTGCTTTACAAACAGGGATGCAGAGAGTGGGACTAGCTAATTCACTGTATTTACTGAAGTGATCTCAGCAGTATTGTTTCTGTGAATACCCCGCTGTCCTTTTCTTGTTTTGTCCCGTGTGTGCGCGTGTGCGCGTGCACGTGTGTGTGTATGTGTGTGTGTAGGCAAACGTCACCAGTGTCTGAAGCAGAATTTATTATGTTTAGCCTTACAGAGTTTCCACAGTTAGCAGTAAGTAGGCATTCTCAGGAGTATCATTTGACTTATATCTTGATAATAATATGATTAACTGTAATTTAATATATAATCAATAATAATTAAGAACTCTTTGAATATTCATTACTTTTATATCACTTTAATTTGTCAATGATTTGTTTTAGAAAGCATTGTTATTTGTATAGAAATAAAACAACTTTTTTTTCAATTCAGTGCCAGAGAACACACGGAATATGTTGACTTAGTACCATTTTCTTGTTTCTTGTGGGAAAGGAGCAAGCATTATGCTTTTAGGTTATATTTTATTTGATAAAATGTACTTTGAAAATTTCAGCATTGCATAGTTTTAATACAGTGTCGTAGATGGGGAGGCATGAGAAGAATAGAGAGACATGTATCTTTGAGCATTTTTTCTGACTGTGTTGAATTTGATGTTGCTACTAAAGCTTGAGGCTGCCATGCCCCCTTGGTGTGTGAACTGTGTGCCGATGACAATGCTCCTGCTGAGACAGGCCTGACACACGAGGCCGTCTGCTCATCGTGTCTAACAGTTTCCTCTCTCTCTCTCCTTGTCTCTCCCTGCCATGGCATGCATTCTGTGCTCCATCTCTCCTCGTAGCCATGCCAAAGTCAATGGCCGTGTGTATCTCGTAATAAATAGGTGGGTACTTCTATCTTCTCTCTTTTGTTTTTGCTAAAAGCCATTTCTTGTTACTGTGTTGCCCTCCTGCTTTATAAATGAAAAGCCCCCTCTGGCAGTAGGCAAGGCCTCAGGTGCACTCCCAGGTGTGCGTTGTTCAGCAACATTGGTGATTAGACTGAGGAGTGCTGTCCATTGGGTCTGGAGGTTGTCAGGGTCTTCAGCTGGTGCTCTGCCTTTGGTCTTGGTCCAAACTTATGCTCCACCAATTTCGTTCTTTGGCAGAATGAGTCCCCAGGCTTGCCTGACAGCTCATCTCCTTCTGGAACATATAATTTAGAGCTCAGCTTAAGAACCACCTCTTCCACAAGCCTTCCCATCAATGCTGGCATCACCTGCTGAAAGTTCTCTGCCCATCCCCTGACTCCCCGTTGCCCTGTGTCACTCCTGCTCCCGTGACACTGCCTCTAGCCTCCAGCTGCCTGCTCCCAACCTGTTACCCCTTGCTAGAGGCAGGAGCATCTCAGGGCCGGACCCCCTGTGGAATCCACTGGTGGTCTACAGACCATCTACCACAAGGCCTTCTCGTTAGGAGATACCCGATAGATCTGCTGAATGAGGTGAACGTGGGCACAAGAATATACGGTTAAAAGAGAAGGACAATGTCAATTTTTTCAAATATGTCTCTGCTTTAATGATCAGCCTATTATTGCCAGATTTCACAGTTTGTTTGGGCACAACAAAAGATGCAAAGATGGGCATTGAGACATGGTCCTTCCCTCAAAATGTTCATCATCCAGCTGGTGAAATAAAACATGCAAAAATAACCACACACAATAAAAAGTAATGTGTGATAAGTGTTGTGTATAGTGTTATCCTCAAAGTGTCCTAAGAATACAGAGGAAGAGCCTTTGGGATATAATTTACTAAAACTACTACCACTTTATTAAGTAGGTGAAATTAAAATGTCCACTTCCATAACTTCATGTCATTAAGTAATAAAGCTAGTAATTTAGTTAGCAGAGACAAGTATCATGAATCCAGTTAACAAAATAATTCTTAGAAAGGTATTGGTTTTTGGATCCAGTTGCTTTTCTCTTCGGTAAAATCCTAAGACTGACAACCATTAGCAGACTGAGGAAAGGAGGACTTAACAAGGAAGTGTCAGAAAGGTACTGCGCGCACTGTAGGTGTTACTGAAGGAGGTGGAACAGGGCTTTGAGGACTGGTTTTGTTGATAGTCAAAGACAGAAAAGTCAACCTCTTTTTCACTAACAGCTAGAGAAGTAAGATGTAGACCCTAGCTAGAAATATTGAGCAACTCTTTAAATTTCATCCCTCCAAATATAAGGACTTTTTCTCCCTTTTCACTCTTTCTCTAGCTCCGTCTTTCTCTCTCTCTCTGTCTCTCCCTCTTGCTCTTCCTCTCTTCCTCTCTTTCTCTCTCTGTCTGTCTCTGTGTTTCTCATGAAGGATTTACTGGTCGCTTTATGAGGAAATGGTCAGGATATAAACGAGGGCAGGAGTTGCCTTTAGTAGGCTCTATCTGCAGCACCAGGTGTAGGTTCCTGTCCTAATAGTCTAGACTTTATCATGAGGGGAACACGTCCAATGAATTCACTCAGGATTTTTTAGAATACAGTACTAGGATTTAAAGTCAACGCCCTAAAATTAAAAACTTGAAGCATTACAGCTTTAGCACTGTCTTCTTTCCAGGGAAATCTCTCATTTTTCTGTGAATATTAACATTTTAAGAAAGGCCAGAGCTATGCCCTGGGGAGAATGTTACCAGACAACCATCCGACACTTTCCGGTGTACTTCTGAAGGCTGTGCGTAAAGTGTGCCCAGGAGCCCTGGTGGCGCAGTGCTTAACCACTCAGCTGCTAACTGAAAGGGCAGGGCTTTGAACCTACCAGTGGCTCTGCTGGAGAAAGATGTGGCACTCTGCTTCCATAAAGATTACAGCCTAGGAAATCCTACGAGGCAGTATTCTGCCCTATAGGGTCGCTATGAGTTGGAATCAACATGACAGCACACAATGAAAACAAAGTGTGCCCAGTTTTCAATAGGGCCTACTAGGGGTGAATGCTTTTGTAAAGCAAATGAGCTTTCTTTCACCCGTGATTTATTTCTTTCTGCTTGGTGCTGTTCCCTAAGGAAAATAATGTGCTTTTAAATGTTAGTTCTGCCCTGAAAGAGGGATCACACCTGCTATTTAACTTTACATATTCTTCTGGGTTGATGACAATTTAGACATTACCTTATAAGTTGTGGGGTAACCTGTTGCCATCAAGTCGACTCTGACTCATAGCGACCCTACAGAGCAGAGTAGAACTAAGGGCAGAATAAGGTGTGGGGAAGGCCAGTGTATTTAGGGCAGTGGGTAACTTTGATAAAATTTTAGTAATATGAATAATTGTGGGGAAATCCCAAAGGAATTAGTAAAAAGTATGAATTAGAATATTTTAACAGAAATAATGTTTATTGCTTCCAAGTACAGAGACTGGAGCCATTGTATCCACCCTGCCTCGTAGACTTTTTGGAGGAGTAATTATTATACACATTTAAGATCTGATGTTAAATTCACAAATCAATAGCTTATATGTAAAAACATTCATTCTTCTAAAAGTACTTAGAAGTTCTAGAAAATAGTTTACCTTAAATGATATAAATATTTTACTTTATTATACTGTAAAGATTACAAATTTGCAAGGCATCCCCTTTTTTTCTAATAGTCTAACGAATGGGGTGAGTGCAGTTAGAGTTATTACATGTGCCACATTAGAATCGTTATTAATAAATGGAAGTTAGACTAGTGAGACTTTACAGTGGTGGAATTTCCATCTTCTTAAATGGAAACTGGTTAAGAGCTCAGCTGCTCTGGGCAGTTCAAATCCACCAGCTGCTCCTTGGAAAGCCTATTGGGCAGTTCCACTCTGTCCTATAGGGTTGCTATGAGTTGGAATTGACTGGACGGCAACGGGTTTGGTTTTGGTTTAAGTGCAAACTAGCTTAATGTGTGGCTTTTCAAAGTCAAGTCCTAGTACAAAGTTAAACCTCTTCAGCTCTCTGGGTAACATAATTTGTTTCTTCTGTTTCAAATAAGAATGCTTCTCCACAGCATGGGATTCGTTCACCACACATTCAACAAATCAAGCACTTGAGGTGTCCAGGGTAAGATTGTACTTCTTCAAGGGGAGATTCCCAAGAAGACAAACAATTAGAATACAATGATGTAGGTCCAAGTAGGGAAAGGTACAGACTGAGGATGAGACAGCATGTGGCTGCACAAGGAAAGAGTGAATGAATAGACATATTCACATCTTCAGCGTTAGAGTAGAATATGAGTGGAGGAAAACGGACAGGGAGACAGCAGACGCTCAGAGCATGAATCGTAATAAAAGCAAGGTAACAAAGTTATAGGTAAGGTTAAAGAAAATGCAGAGGGACGAAATCGAACTCCCTAATGGACAAAGACATGCAAAACAGTTTGATTTAAAGTGTCCAGGGTTTCTCTGAGAATCCAGTTCATCTTCAGGTCTATTTGGAGTCCCAGAGTGAAAATCCTCTATATGATGATTAGATGATTAGCATACGATAATCAGTAAAGAAGTATCAGTAGTATAAGTTCCTTAGCCTGATGTTTCAGGGCAAGTTTTTACAAAAGTTTATTTTTCCTTCAGTATTTGAGAAATTAAGATTCTTTTCTCTTATTTGCTGGGGAGTGGGTGTGGGGCTTGATAAATTGTCCTGGAAGCCGAAGCAAGAGACACAGGCTTTCCTTGAGAACCAGTACAGCTGTTGGTCATAGCAAGCTGACCATTGATCTGCCTCTGAGATCAGCCTGTGTGGAGCCCACCATGGAGCCCCCTCTGCAGCCCTTCCCCGCAGTCTGTGAAGCAGTCAGAGACCACATGCGCAGCACAGGAAACAGATGTTGAAAATACCTGGAGACAGATTCCCGAGGAAGGAATGTTTGCTCCTCTTCTTCTGCGTGGGCATTTTAATATACAAGTTCTGTTAAAGAATGTGTTGACAGAATTACAGGCTGAGTTTAGTTTACCTTCTTTATTGTCCAGTTTTGTGTGGTCCCTTGCAAGGGGATGTTTCTAACCATGCCTTTTCATTAGCATGTACTTATGATACAAATTATCAAAACCTAGTACATAAAAATCTGTCATTAGAACGTGGTTCCTTACTATACTATTCCTGTGAACATGGCACTGTGTTCAGCCTCAACAGGAATCCCCTCAATATTCACAACAGCCTATGAAATAGGCACTGTCACCCCATTTTACATATCAGTAAACTGAGAATTAAAAGACAGGTTAAGTAATTTTCCCATGTCACATAGCTAGTACGTTTTCTAGATGGGGTTTGAACCCACATCTTTCTGATTCAAAAGCCCATCCTCTTAACATCACTCTATATTGCCTCCAAAAAACGCTATGATGAAAATGGGGGGAAAAAATGAAAAAAGTGAAAGGAGTCACACAGGTGTCTTTAAAATAGTAAGCTCCAATCATGCAATTAAAATATTTTGACCTATACAAGTTTTATGCATGCAGACTTTAGTGCAGAAATTTCTCAGCTAGTTAACACACTTCTCAACTAGTCAATGATAGCCTGATGTGTGTATTTCCTTCTTCCTCATTCATTGCCAGCTCATGAGCTGAGACCGCCCCAGAGGGCACCAGGTCTTTTAGGACCTATTCCCTCTTACAAGTTAGGTCAGAGGGAAAAGGGCAAAGTTAGATGTGGAGATCTGCTTCTCTCCTATCCCCAGCCTGATCGATATCTGGTAGACTATTGCAGGTTTCCAGAAGACTGCCTTCCACAAAGCTTACTCCAGTGTTTGCCTTTGCTCCCTTTGTCCAATGGTCTGTCCTCACTCCACCTGCCTGTGCCCAGCGTTTGGGGACCATTTGCTCTGTATCCACAGTAGCAGCTGCACACAGAGCCTCGTGTCTGTGAGCGTCACTCCGTAAAGAGTAGTCGTTACTAGAAAGTTCTGTTCTCGTCAGTAAGAAGTCATGGCAGTATTAATGCAGACATTCAAACTGCACTCTGAAATGACCATACTTCCGCACTAAAAACTCTGAGCTGCTTGTCATCATGAGAAATATCTTCTCACTTGTAAAATGCAACTGTCTGGCAAGGCTGAAGAGAACAAACATACACGGACAAGTGAGTAGTACCTGACTGGTCTTACATCTAATGGTATTTCATGTTGGAGCCCTGATGAAGCAGGAACAGCAAACGTGTGACCTGAGATTTGGTGTTCAGCACTGGCTTATAAGATAAGATGCTGCAGTTTCCACAGTGGTTAACTTTCCAGAAGTCAGGAGAGTGATTTGACCCGCTTAAGAAAGTGAGCCACCCTCAGAATGGTGTTTCTTCGTTAAATTAATCGTTTATTTCTGGTGTACTGTAAATTAACTGTTTGACACCCTGTTGAAGGGAATTTCTTTTGAGTAATAACCTCTCTAGAAGTCTAAGGACAATGTAGAATTATTACAAGTTATCCAAAATGATAGGTGTGTTTGCAAATGTAAAATCAACAAGTTGAAAGTAACCTTAGATTGTATCGAATCAAATTATCCCATTTCATAGGAATTAAATTAAATTCCAGAAAAGGTAAATAATTTACTCTGAGCCCACAATTATGCAGGTAGAACAGTATCATCAGTCGGCGTTCAGTCACCAGCAGGTGGAAGTGTACAGATGGATTACAAATGGAGTGGATTATCAGTATCTCCAGTAGACCTTTTCCTGGTGTGCACATTTTGTCCACAGATGTTATTTAAAGCAGTCATTTGAATGTCAATGAAACATACATTTTATTTTAATGAAAGAGAAGGCTCATACTTGTTATTGCCCACTGTGAAATAAGCTGTAATGTCGCAGGTTGTCCTGGCTCAGTGAAAACTCCATCTCCTGTAGCACCCTGTGGCCCGGGCCCTCCCACATTTACACCAGTGCAGAGTTTACCCCAGCAAACCACAGACATCTTACGCCTGAAGGCAGTTGGCTTCCGCTGCATTACCCTTTAAATGCTTGAGCAGGATGAGTCCATGCAAAGGTTGACCGGAAGCAAAAATTGTTTAAGAATCAAAGCAACTGATTTAAAATGCGAATGATTCGATTCTCGTGGGATGGTTTGTCGCATGACGTAACTTGCCTCCGTAGTCCATCTGTTCTTCCGCTGACGGTCCTGCAGAGCTGTTCACTCAGGTCAGCTGCCCAGCACAGGGTCAGCCGCCACAGCTGGCTCCCAGGCCGTCCCGGAATGCACCCAGCACTAGGCCGTTCCTGCCGCTGGCCTGCAGGAATGCAATCGCGGATGTTATGTAGCATGATGTGTGATCTCTGACGTTCCTTATAATTCTTCTGTTCTCATCTCCTTTTTTTCCTTTCTATTTCAATTACTTTGAGCAGCATCAAGAAAAAATTACCAATCCACCAAAATGAGTAAGTCCCCCTGTGAAGTCATGAAATGCTTGCTCTGGATGATGCCATTTCATGCTTCTCCAACCTCAACTCTGGCCATTTTCTCCCTCGGGAAAAATGCCAAGTTTAGGTGTTGATAGCTCTCATTACTGATTAATCACTAGATTCCACATTAGAAAAACTAACAAAACCTGGGTTTACAGTTTGGTTTTAGAAAGTGCTAAAAAAAACAAAAAAAGTAACAAGACGCTCACACCCCACATTGGAAGGCCTTTGCACCTGCACTGATTTTCAGTTTTGTGTGCCCTTCTTTTTCGTGCCCCTCACTTGAGTCTCCTGACACCCCCCCATCTTCTGACTCAGCCGCTCTCTGCCCACAGACTGGCTCATCCCGAAGGCAGCCTTCCCGACCTGGCCATGATGAACCTGCCCGCCAGCCTGGGGAAGCAGGAGGGGAAGAGAGCCGAGGAGCAGGCAGAGGAGACCCCAGAGGGCGGCTCTGAGAATGTGGAGAAGGGCACGCCCTGGAAAGACAGCGAGGAGACTGAGGAGGATGAGGGTGAAGAGGAGGACTCAGAGGACGGGGAAGAAACGTCAGGTAAGCAGCCCTCTAGCAGTGTGCTAGACAGAGTGAAGGACACATGGATCCGCTCTGGAAGGATATATTTCTGCCCAGTCAGTTAAATAAACAGCATTTTTCTCACGGTTACTGTAGTGGTAGCATTCCTGTTCCATTTGCTCCAATAATTTCCTTTTAAAAGAGCAGGTAGCTGGTTATCAATTATTAATCTGCCACAGGATCCTGTCAGAGACTACCTGGGTTTGGCGCTTACCATTTCCTGATCAGCGATCTCGGACAGGGAACCTCCCACCAGAAGCAGAAGCAGGCAGCCATGTGGAGTTCCTGAAAGTTCAGACATGACCTCTTCAAACACGTTCTCTAAGAAGTCATTCTGAGGCTTTTTCAGGAAACTGGTCATTGAGAGTATACTTCTGGTTCTGTTCTAGTGCTTAAGGACATGGGAGCTGGAGGAGGAAATACTGCAGTTGGGTAATAATCACTTCAGGCAAACTTTGAAAGGTGTTTTGTTGTGGTGATCATTTTGGAGCATTCCCTTTTGGTTCTTTAAGCTCTTCTTTCCTAGTTTTCTTCCTAGACTTGGAATGATGTGTTAATACGGCATGATGAGAATGGGATGTCCTTACTAATCAGGAAATGTTATCTGACAGGTAGTACTGCAGGGCAGAGAACTTAGACAATTAGTTTATTCCATAATTCCCAGAAAATAGGGAGACACCAGAGAGCATGGCCTTTGGGGGTGATATCTCGGGCTACGCTGCGAAGTGCTGCCGTTGTCGTTGCTGGACCTCTGTGCTTCACAAAAGTAGAAAATAAAGAAGTAGCATGAGAGGGAAGATCCCTCTCAAAGGTAATCTCCCCCAGAACCTGGTCCCCTTCTTCCATTCACCTCAGAAGACCCTGGAGAGGCCCCGAAATGCCCTCTCCATACCTGGGCAACACGTGCCCCTCAGTGGGATGGAGAGAACCAAGCAGGCGAGACAAGTGATTTTATTGTAAGATGAGGATTTTATTATACTGCTTCCAGACAGGACTTGGGCTTCGCTCATAGGCTCTTATCAGAAATTGAACTACACCTTGTTAGCTCACTCCCTTGTCTGCACCTGTCCTCTGCACCTGCCCCTCTTTCCCCTTTATATAGTGCCCATTTATTACCTGGACATTCATATTGACTGTTGTCTGAGCTACTCAGTAAATGAACACCTTCACAATAACCAAACCTTCCTTAAACTGTACCAAGTACGGTAACTGTTGTAACTACCTAAGCTATGCAAAGAAGCTACTCAGAGAGACTTAGGTCTTAACACTCCCATGAGCATGTGAGCTTTTGTCTACAAATACGGTGATGTGCTGGTTCTACAGAGCGGCCCTGTTGTGACTTTAGTTCAGATTAACCAGGGTAGTCCTTCCCGACTGAAGCCTGACCCAGCCTCCGCGGTATTGCTCCCTAGCACACGGTAGAAAGAATAAAGACTAATTGGATTAAAAACTGTGATTAGAATGCTTCTCCTCGAACTTTGTGAGGCTGGATCCTCAGAGGTGAGTCGTGTCTGCTGTGGGTACTCTGGCTCACTCTCCAGAAAGACCGGAGCTCCTTCCACTTCCCAGTTGAGCTCCTTCCACTTCCCAGTTAAGCTCCAGCAAACGATACTCACCATTTATAGAAGCACAGCTTTGACAAGAAAGATGCCATTTGGAGGACTCTCGGTTATTAACATTCCCAGGAAATAGGGACATATAGCCTCAGCCATAGGAGTAAATACGCCAAAATGCTCAGTTACACTGATTGAATCAAAAGGTGCATAAGAGTAACATCATCCCTCAGACTGTCAGTGTATTATATCCAGGTTATCATCATGACATGGAATTGTTAGATGGAATTTCTTAGGGTTCTGTATGTGTGTGTGTACATGTATATATATATATATATATATATATATATATATAGAAAGAGAGAGATGGAGATGGAGAGACAGAGAGAGACGTATTTTAAGGAATTAGCTCACACTATTGTAGGGACTGGAGACCGCTGGCACAGTGCTTAAGAGCTCAGGCTGCTAACCAAAAGGTTGGCAGTTCGAATCCACTAGCCGCTACCTGGAAACCCTATGGGGCAGTTCTACTCTGTCCTATAGGGTCACTATGAGTCGGAATCAACTTAACAGCAACGGAAGAGGAAGAATCTGTTTTACTTAAGGCCAACTGATTTAATCACATGTAACTACTTCATAACAGAGTCTAGACTAGTGTTTGGCCAAACAGCTGGGCACCATATCCTAAACAAGTTGACACACAAATTAACCATTCCAACCCTTACTTCAGATACTGATTCTTCCTATTCTTAGAATTAATTCACTGCTGTTATTTTCAGCTTGTAGTTCCAATCTGAAAGTTCCAAGATATACTTTAAATAGTAATAAAAAGGAAGAAGTAGAGGAGCGCTTTGTTATGCTCAGTTTGGGTTCCTGTTTTGCAGACCTCAGGAACAAATGGCACCTGGTGATCGACCGCCTCACTGTGCTCTTCCTGAAGTTTCTAGAGTATTTTCACAAGCTGCAGGTGTTCATGTGGTGGATTTTGGAGCTGCACATCATCAAAATTGTCTCATCGTATATTATCTGGGTTACTGTGAAAGAGGCAAGTAAACATTTGTCATATCGTCAGGCTTAATAGAACCACAATAGGCTATTATTTTACATTTCCAATTCCAGTGATTTTTTAATGAGATACCCAGTGTTCTCCAAGGGGTCCTAAGACAGGCACACATGCTTCCACATGCAGAAAACGAAGGACAGTTGCCCTGTGGATGGGAGAGGAAGAGAGCAGGGCAAAAGAGGCTCATGGGTTAGTTTCTGATTGGTTTGGTCACATTACAGAGGTTGCTTGTTTCCGTCTAGTCCTCAGAGCCTATGAGAGCAGCTGCTTTTCTGCACTGTATACGCAGCTCTGTCTCCTTCAATTCTCTTTGAGGAAACCAGTAACATTCCAGTTTATGGCACTAAGGAGTAAACTTAGATTCCAAAATTTAATACAATGTTTAGTAGAGCTCACCTTGTTCATTATGGGATTTTTGGAAACCAGACACAAAATCTGTGAACATGGTAATTGCAAGTGTATTTTCTTATCTGTAGAGAGCAGAGTCACCATTCAGCCAATGATTGTTTAATGTTTACTGCAGAAGTGTTTTCTTTGATTTTATTGTACTTTAAGTGAAAGTTTACAATTCAAGTTAGTCTCTCATACAAAAATTTATACATACGTTGTTATGTGACCCTACTTGCTCTCCCTGTACTGTGACAGCATACTCCTCCTTTCCACCCCTGATTTTCCTTGTCCATTCAACCAGCTCCTGACCCTCCCTGCCTTCCCATCTCACCTCCAGACAGGAGCTGCCCATTTAGTCTCAGGTATCTAGTCGAGCTAAGAAGCACACTCTTCACGAGTATCATTTTATGTCCCATAGTCCAGTCTAGTCTTTGACAGAAGAGTTGGCCTCGGAGATGGTTTTATTGCTGGGTTGACAGAGAGTCCAGGCGCCATGCTCTCTGGGGTTCCTCCAGTCTCAGTCAGACCATTAAGTCTGGTCTTTTCACTAGAATTTGAGTTCTGCACCCCACTTCTCTCCCACTCCAATAGAGACTGTCCGTTGTGTTCCCCGTCAGGGTGGTCATTGGTTACAGCTGGGCACCATCCATTTCTTCCGGTCTCAGGCTGTTGCAGTCTCCAGTTTATGTGGCCCTTTCTGTCTCTTGGGTTAATACTTTCCTTGTGTCCATGGTGTTCTTCATTCTCCTTTACTCCAGATTGGTTGGGACCAATTGATGCATCTTAGAGGGCCACTCACTAGCTTTTTAAGACCCCAGACGCCACTCACCAAAGTAGGATGCAAAACATTTTCATAATAAACTTTATTATGCCAATTGACCTAGATGTCCCCTGAAACCATGGTCCCCAGACCTCCGCACCTGCTACTCTGTCCCTCGAAGTGTTTGGTTGTATTCAGGATACTTCTTAGCTTTGGTTTAGTCCAGTTGTACTGACTTCCCTTGTAGTGTGTGCTGTCCTTCCCTTCACCTAAGACAATTCTTGTCTACTATCTAGTTAGTGAATAACTCTCTCCCTTCCTCCCCACCCTCGTAACCATCAAAGAATGTTTTCTTCTGTGTTTAAACCTTTTCTTGAGTGCTTATAATAGTGTCTTGTACAATATTTGTCCTTTTGTGACTAACTAAATTCACTCAGCATAATGCCTTCCAGATTCCGCCATGTTATGAGGGGTTTCATGGATTCATCATTGTCCTTTATCGTTGTGTAGTATTCCATTGTGTGAATATACCATAATTTGTTTATCTATTCGTCCGATCACGGGCACCTAGGTTGTTTCTATCTTTCTGCTATTGTGAACAGTGCTGCAATGAACGTGGGTGTGCATATATCTATTTGTGTGACAGCTCTTATTTCTCTAGGATATATTCCAAGGAGCAGGATTGCTGGATCATATGCATAGTGGATTGAATTGTGTCCCTCCAAAAACGTGTGTAGCGATTTGGCTAGGCCATGATTCCCAGTGTAGTGTGGTTGTCCTCTATTTTGTGATTGTAATTTTACATTAAAGAGGATTAGGGTGGGTTTATAACACCACCCTTACCCAGGTCACATCCCTGATCCAATGTAAAGGGAGTTTCCCTGGGGTGTGGCCTGCACCACCTTTTATAACTCAAGAGATTTAAAAGGAAAGGGAAGCAATCAGAGAGTTGGGAACCTCACAC